AGGGGCACACCAATCAGGAGCAGCATAGCCAGAGAGAGTCTGTTTTCAAGCAGAACTTCTCTTGAGAAAATCTGGGTTTGGTTTTGTGCGATTAGGTTTGTCATGTGTCGTCAACCGCAACAGAAAAGTGGGAGCAAACAGCCCTGGAGCAATTGGTACGATCACCGTACAGTGGTGGCTATATCCCTTGGAGGAGCTGGGTGGGGTAAGGGGAGCTCTGAAGGACACGCTGGGGGACTTCCCTCTATGACCCGATGGAGAGTGACAGCAGGAGCAAGAGAGACTCCCCAGGCACATTGCAAGCAAGTGAGACCAAGAGAGGTGTTGGGGCTGGAACAACAGGGGAATATCGTAGGGGCTAACCAGTAAGTGTGCTGGAAAGGGAAACATGGCTGGTCCTCAGCAACGCTCATCCAAATTAGGAACTAAACCACTGCTGTGTTATCCATGTCTGTGGAGAAGTTTTTGCATTTTTAATTGTTTTGCAGCAATAACTGCAATAACTACATGTCCCAGGGCTTACTCCCAGGCTGAGTCACTGCCTGCTCCAGGTGAAGGGAGAAGGATGAACTCCTCATCCCAGCAGGATGAGCTGGGAAAGACTTTCTACAGTTACTTTCTTTCATTATTATTCCCAATGTAATCCAGAAGCTGCTTCCTTAGTGCTCAGATGGAAGGTTTTCCAGAGCATATCACCTGGAAAACGGGCCAAAGACTCTCTCCTTGGAAATAGTTAAATAGCTCCACTGCAATTAGCTAACACTAGGGATTCATTGCTTGAATGGAGGTACCTTTAGTAGTGGGCAGAACTCTCTGCAAATTAGGCCTGTATTTCTTAACATTTGTATCCTTGTGCCTGAAAATAGTGATATTTATTTGACATGCTCAGACCCCAGGCTGTTTTATCCTTAAATCAGGAACAAAATTCACCTTTGTTGTGTGAGGACAAAGTGTTTGTTCCTTTTGATGAGCATCCACATGTGGTAATGGAAGAGCACTTTAAGGCAAGACTAGGACAAGAAAGATAATCAGGGCCTGACTGTTTCTAAGCTCACTCTAGGTTATTTCCCATGGGGAAACCAGATGAGGTCTCTTACCCCATGTTATAATGTGGCTCCTTGTGTCTCTCCTATTTGCATGCAGTCCAACTGTGCACCCTCCTGTAACTGGCAGCTGACAAATACGTCTATGACAATTAAAAAAAAAAAAAATTCTAGAGCACTTGTATCTACTGATTATAGAAAAGAAATTTATTAATGAGAAACTGTGAATGAGCATACACTTGCAGGTACGAGTGTATAATTTGCACAAAAGGAAATCTGGCATTAAAGTTCATATATATTTAAAAAAGAAAAATAGAAAAATGTGCCTGCTCTGTTTGTATGTGGGAATGACAAAAGAAACTTTCATTTTGGAGAGGCAAAAACATCTCTGACACCCCTGAGGAGACATCTTATGAAAAGATAGGCAAGAGGGATGGTTACACTTCCTTACAAGAGGACTGACTCTCATTAACAAGAGGCAGGCAGTATTCATTCTAGTCACCAGTGACCTGCAGATAAGCCAAGCCAGAAAGAAAAAATCCTGAAATATGACTTAATAAAAGTCAGTGACACTATAACCCTCCCAACTCATCAATTGGAGGAAGAATGGAAGGTGTATCTCCCTATTGGACCAGCCATTTCTTTCCCTTTCTGCACATCTTCTTAGTATCAGAAATTATTCCCAAGCATGTTCCAGGCCACGTTGGCTTCATTTCTCTCTCTCTCTCCTTCCACACTAGACCCATTTCTTCAGAGTCCTTCTCAACAGAAGTGAGATGTGTATCACATTTGGACTTCTAACCTTCACACAACAAACACTCTAAACCACTGTGAGACGTGCTGTCGACATGCAGATTGCAGTGCCTCGGGCACCCACATGGGAAAGGTCTGAAAAGAACTTCCTGGCCCCTCTTCCTCTGAGAATTATTCATCACCTCTCTTCCTTTCCCTCCAGCTGCCCGTGCCCACCCACGCCTGCTGTAGGAAGCATCTCCCCCCGGTTTGGTTTGGACGCTGGGTGGTGAGGAGGTGAGTGGGATATGCCAGCCCCTGCAGGCTGCTCTGTACGCTCTGTTCTCAGGGCTGTTTGCTGTGCGGGCCGCAGGCTTCAGGCCTTTGAAGGGTTGAATACCATCTTTTGATTTACCATGGCTGATGGGGTATGGGAAAACTTTACAACTGAAATGCACAGAAAATCTAAAAAAAAAGAAAAAAAAATAAAGAAAAAAAGGGAAAAAAAAGAAAAAACAACATTGGAAAGACCTCAGTAACCACACAGATGATAATAAGTAATCAAATGGAATAGATCAAAGAAGAGAAGAAAGAGACAGCTCTTAGTAATAGTTTTAAATGACTTGTAAGAAAAGCACAATTAAATAACTCACCACTCAAAACAGTCTTTGTGTGCACACATCTGTCAAGGGTTAGACACTTGGGGGATGCTGACATGCAGCTAAGTCAGCACCGAGCATACTCAGCGTCTTCAGAGGCAATGCTGATGACTGTTTCTCACTGGTAGGGGGATTTTGGCAGGGTCAGATAATGAAGATTTGGTTATCATTTGTGACATTTTGGCTATGAACAGTCTCCTTAAAGAGTTAGACGTGACTTAGAGGAAACAACTGAAAATTAGTGGCTCTAATAATGTAATTCCTCCTCAAATTCTGTTTCTTCAACAGCAAGGTAACTTTGCTGTTTTGACAGAAGGAAAGTCCCGTTTCAAGGAATATATCTGAGAGCTTTATAAAAGAGGAGAGATGAAGCTCAGTGCTGGTTCCAACAGTCTAAACTACCCTTCCGTTGAGTTGGACATAGAAGGATAGTGCTGACACGTTTCCACCGATGCAGCCTTTAGTCACTTTTGGGGGAAAATTCAACCTCACAAAAATTCCAGCTGAAAATCTGGCAAATCTGGCATATGCACTGCTTCAGTCTCTGCAACTACACAAAAATAGCCTTCAGTTAACACAGGGTCCAGTTTATAGATTTTGTCCCTGTGCTAAACTAATGCCACACCTCTTTCCAAACATGTGTAGACCATATGTCAATTCTTTAGCCATGTCTTTTAGATGTCAGATAGTAAGAGGTGAACTGTCCACCTCTAGGCTTGGTGATGGCGTAACACCCCAGCAAGAGTTAAAAGTCACCAGCGTCAATCAGACACACAATGTTGACAGGCCCTGAGGGAATATACTGTCTGCCAGCATGATATAAGGAAAAGTGGAAAGAGTAACTGTAAAAAATTACAAGTATATTCAGGGTAGTCTAAATATGGTCTCCTCGTATACACATAGAGTCTAAGTCTAGGAGGCCCAGGAGGCCCTGTACACTTAAAAGGAGAAACTCCTACTCTTTGATTTTAAAGGAAGATGAAGAGATAACACAATCAAGCAACTGGTACTTTCCTCAGAAGAAAAGCTGACAACTTTTTATGAAATCTGGCAGTTTTCTTAATAAAAAGCAAGGGTTTCTATAGCCCTTCAGATGGGGACTCTTGCTTTTAAGAGAGATGAACTTGTTTAAATGCATCTTCTCTTCATTTTCTTATTCCAAAAGCAGATATTAGGGGCTGACTTGAACTTTAAAAGCCAGAGACACAAGAAGCAATTTTGAAAAACAAGCTAGTTCCAAAGCACAACTGCTGGACAACATATTGCCCAGGTGAGGATGAGGAACCCTAAAATCACCACTTAAGCTCATTTATGGAGCAGCAAGACCTTGATAAACTTACCACATCTAGCTGTGATATCAGGAGTTAAAAAACAAGAACTATTACTACAGGTATAGGTGTATAATACTTTTTTTTCCTCTCTACAGATAAAGCACTACATGGTTTCCTCCTGATAATACCACAGCAGGGTTTTGAAGATGCTGATACTCGTAGCTCAAAAAATGCAAAAGCTTGTTCCAGTGGGGCTTAGAATTTTGAAACCTGACATAAGCTTTCACAGACCATGCACACATCTTCATATAGAGTACCCTACATATTAGAAGAGGTTTAACATTTCACACTATCATGATAGTTCTGCCTCTTCGACTCAGAATCTCTTCTTAGTTATATTCCTGGATTCACATGAAGCAACAAGTTGCATCACTGAAAAGTGAAAGAAAGCTTCAACTCATCTATTTACATTCTTTAAAAAGCCTATTTGTCATTCAGTACAATACTTAAAGACTGGCAAGAAAAAGGATTGAGGCTAATCTAACAGCACATTCACTCCTAGTTGTTTTTTTTTTTTTTTCATTGTTGCTATTGTTGCACTTGTTTCTGATTGTCTGTCTTTATTATTTTCTGGGAAAGTGTAACTCTAAGGAGACAGAACACAACCCTTTGGGATAGGAGGGGGTGCACTTTTATTATTGCCTTCATTTTAATAAAGACACAATAAAAAAAAAAAAAAAAACCAAAACAACAGGCTTTTTTACTAGATATAAAAAGCCCAAAAGGCTGAAACACATAGCAATTAGAAAATAGAAATAATTAGTGAAGTAGCAAAATAGACCAAATTGTATCAAACTTTGCCAAATTCTGTAAAGGGCATGAGATTCCCAGGACTTCTGCTTGCCACAATATTCATTTTGCTTTCCTCCCACGTTTAGCTTTGACTGTTTTGAGTGATGTTGGATGAATGAGGGATGTAACTGATCAAAAGATGGACCAAGCAGCATGTCTCACACAGAGCTCACCAGTCCCAGACCAAGAAAGGAAACTTAAAAACTTAAAGACTTAAAAACCAACACTGTCCATAACGAAGAACTGACAGCAAATCTTCATGCAGCAGTGCAGAAGAGAATTTCTCTCCGCAAGAGAATATCATTATGAAGGTCTCAGCAGTTATTTTAGAAATAAATCCAATCCAATCAAACCAACAGAAATTAAACAAAATTATTTAAAAAACCATTAATCACAAGCCCACACTAATAGTGAAGGGGCAGTGGAAGGTTTTTATACGATACCTAAATTGACCATAAGTTTGACACGGCCTCCATCCAGCTCCAGGCGCAGTGTGTCCGCAGAGTCTCGTGAAGTGGTTGCCATCAACAGCCCATAAGCGCGCTGGGACATGAAACGGAAGGACACGTCTTCTGCTTCTGTATGCATGACCATAGGCATGATGATCTTCATGTACATGCTGCCATCATAGCTCAAGATAGAGGCCTCTGCAAGGAATCAGCAGACAATTGCAAAAAATGAAAAGAAGTTACACCTTTGTGCAATCTTCACTCCTGAAGAACCATGGCATCTACCACAGAGCACTGTGTTTACAGAAACCATACCACTCGCCATAGTAAGGTACTTACTGGGGGAAACACAGGAACTGGTGAACTGCATCCAGCAACCTTATGTGGCAAGTACAAGCAGCAAACATAAAGATATGGTATTCACCACAACTGGACGCGGTAGTACCCATGGAGACATAATCCCAAGGACAAGTATGTTAACACAGAGCCCTTCTGTGATAATGAGCTGGCAAAGCCTTCATTTTTCACATCTTCCAGAAAATGTACTCTCCTCCATTAGTCCAGCCTTCCCTAGCAGTGGCTGTAATCACCACTTTAAACAATGTCTACAACACTTCTACTAGAGCATTTAGTCTTGCCTTTGAAGGGTCAGAGTTCCTATTGCTGGTACTCTTAAGAGCTGTTGGTTTTTTAGAAAGGAATTTCTTTCCATTGCTAGCACTTTAAAGAAAAACAGCAACCGCATGAAACAAGTTTCCTAATATGTCTTTTCTACAGTGGATTGATGCTGGCTTGTGGTTTTATATTTTTCCTATTTTTTACTAACAACTAATATTAGTAGAGCTCTGCTGACACACCCAATGGCACTGCAAAGCAAAAGAAGAAAGGAACGAACCAAACCCCGCTGCAAGTTTAAGTGTCACTCAAACACAGGAAAAGCCAGGAGATGGAGGCACAATGAAAGCCAGGAATCACAGAATTGCCATGGTTGGAAAGGACCTCTGAAATCACCGAGTCCAACCATACACACACAAAAAACCCCTACAATCTCCGCCACTAGAGCATGCCCTGAAGTGTACATCTACATGTTTCTTAAATACCTCCAGGGATGGTGACTCAACCACCTCCAGGGCAGGCTGTTCCAGTGCCTCCTTTTTCCAGGAGGAAAAAGAAGAAAAAAAAAACAAGGAAAGAAATTATATTTTTCTATCATCTCTGAGGATGTCAAAGAAAATAGAAAGTTCAGCTGAGGAAAGGAGTTATAGTACTTAGCATTCTCTATTTGTTCAGGGTCTTGCAGGCAGAAACTGATATGCTTCTCTAAGGGGGTAGAATTAACGTCTTGTGGTAGAACTGCAGCAACCACTACAGCATGGCAATCATTGTTTCTGTCTGGGAATATGTTCCAAAGCATTTTTATTTGCAAAATCTACAAATCTACATAAATATATTAATGTATTAATCAGAACATCCCTTCTCCCCGTAGCCAAAGCCTAGCAAAGGCAGAGTGGTAGACATTGCTTCATGTAGGACTTATACCACAAAACTACATGTAAAAATCGTAGACGTTAAAAAAAATACCAGTTCAGCTCCCTAGGCACGTGAAAGGATTGCTCCATAAAGTACTCCTACCAGTGCCCCATCCAGTTTAGCTACAGTTTTCTCAAATGGTTGGGATTCTCAGCAGGCACCACCCACACACCCCAGAAAACTAACACCCCATCTAATTTAACCAACTGCAAGAACATGTATTTGGAATCCAGATGCTCTCCTTATGTTTCACCCCTTTGTCCCATATTTCCCAGTCAGGCCACTCATGCTGACAGGAGCAGAACTTCTAAAGGGAAACAGCAAGCCTGGCAAAGGCAATCCTTACATCCTCTCAATGCTTAAATGTTAGATGCTAGGGTAGGGTAGATGGATGGGAAACTGGCCATACGCCATGCCGGATGAGAACCGGCCATATGCCATGCTGGAAAGGACCCATGGCTGGCTCCACAATGGCCGGTAACAGAAATGCAATTTGTAACAAACATGAAAATGAGGTGATAAATAAGGATATAAGTAGCAAGCTGACAAAGTGACAGAGGAGATGTATATATGGTTAGAAAACATTTGGTGGGGATCACTGGGGTTGTGCTGGTGCAGCGACCCACTGCACTGATAGCTGGTGTGCAGCACCTCTCTGGGCATGGGACATGCAAACCCATTAAGAAGAAAACTTTTCTGGGAGCACCATTAAAATAAGATGGCTGTGAAGTGCTTCCCTATTCACCAGTTTTCTTAGCTGCGCTCCCCACACACTGTCATGGTCCGTACACACAAAGCTCTCTACACACAACACCCACTCAGCCATACAGACACCTTCTGGGTACCAGCTGCCAGCACTGCCCTGAGGACTCACATCTTCTCTTGGCCAAGAAACAGAGAAGGAACAAAAGCTTCTTTCTCAAGGTGGGGGAAAGGTTTCTTCTTTTCAATGCACAATTATCTTTCCCCTCACGTCTGCACCTCTTACTTGCCACCCACAGCTGCAAGCTGGAACTAAATGTACTGTATATTATACATACACTCAAAGGCAATGCGTATGTACACACAAACCCTCCGTGCTCTCTTTCCTCTCTCTCTCTCTGCGGATTGTATTAGAAAATGCAGTCAAGCATGAAATGGCTCTTTTGACGCCTTCAGCTCAGATGTGCCTTGCATGAAACAGTTGCTTGCCCTGGCGCCTGAATCGCTGCGAGAAGGGGGTTGGAGGATATCAGGATTACGAGTGGGAGTAGCTGACACAAGTGCCCCAGCTCTGCTGCTTCCTTCTCCACAGCACCACGCGTTAGGTGCCTCGGGAACACGAGTTTTTCTGCAGACACTAGAAGACAACAAATTGAAAGCCTGGTAATAATGAGTCTCTTCCCTTCGAAAAGAATTCGTGTCCTTCAGCTCCACTGATCCCATTGCTAAAAAATTATTGTCCTCAAACAAGAAAACCCACCTGTTATTATTATACTTATGTAAGAAGGATCTGAACACCACCTAGAATTGCTGAAAATGACACAAAAGTCTAGACAGTGTTCCAACTGACATCCCACAGTAGTCTAAATCAGGTATAACTGTTCCTTCTTTGGTCGGCCTGCCTTGAACAGGGAGCAATGAATCCTTGTCACAATTAAGCAGATGAAATTAAATAGCCTGCAGTAGTTGAAACAGCCTGTGCACAACCACAGGAGATGATGAGTTTCTGTTCTCGTGTGTGCCCTGTGCTGACCTGGGCCTGGCCCATCTCAGATCACCCATGCACTTAGCATCTTTTAAAAAGAAGGAGATTTCATCCTCACCATGCAAGTCTTCACCAGCTGCAGTATCTGGGAGCTTTTTCAGTACATCTCCTTGCAAGCACACCATTCCCTCCAACTACAAAAATACCCCTTCAGAGGAGGGTATTGCCTGGTAGCAGTCATATGAATAAAATCTATCTCCTTGTCCTGACAGTCAGTCCCCAAATCTTGAGGAAGGCATGTTACAGCTGCACAACACATACAGCAAATCTGCGCAGGGCTGAACGTAACCTGGCAACAACTAGGTGACCTCAGCCTCCCAGGCACTGGTGCTGGCAACTTCTGCCTGAATACAGGCATCCACTCGATTGTCCTCGGCCATCTGCAGCAATGGGACTGTAATGTTGTTGTCCAACACCATAAATAAAGACAGCGCCACAGTTATCCACATTTAAAATACACGTGTGTTCCTCCCCCCCTTCTACTTTTAGGGTAGCTATTATACTTGGACGTCTCACAAGGACACGCATAGGAGCAATGGGGTAAACCATTTTTCAGAGACCCACAGATTTGTACAGATGAAAAGATCCAGAGAGGCATTTATTTGCAATCTGAAAGCCAGAAGCTTCATTGCCATTAGCCTGGAGATGGGAAGAAGAAGAAACCAGGTGCTGATTCAAAACTGCCCTGACATAATGCCAGAGATCTGTGAAAATCAATATGTTATTAGGAGTGATTAGCTTCCCAGTCTTGTGCTCTGAGATGCTGCCAGCTTTAATTTTACACTTAGCATCCAAAGGAGCAATTCACTGCTGCTTCCCCACAAGGCTCTGCATAAACCTCCTGGGGAGACAGCAACAGGCGTATTCTTAGAATACAGACAGAAAAATATTCAAGACCTCTTCATGCTCTTTCTCTTGCTTTCTAACCTTTTTCTTGTATTAATCTCCATTCTTTGCCTTTTTCCTTTCTTCTCCCATTTAGTTTTTCTGTAGTCTCTTGCTCTTCCCTGTGGTCTTTTTGCCCTGCCTCTCAGACTGCAATATATCTTTTTTCCTGAAATTTCCAGAAAGATGACAGTGCAAAAAGAAGGAAAAAATAAAGATAAGATGACGCCTTCCTTCCCTATTTCCAGGGGTTATACAGATGCTTTACAAAAGGACCTTTGTATCCCAAAGCTCAGCATACCATTACCCCAGCTCCCCCACTCTGTTCTAGACTAAATAAACCTCTTTTGCTCAACTTCTTCCAGCTTTTATTTTCTAAAACTTGCCTCTTTCGCTTCTCATTTCTGGATTCTCTCTGATTTGTATACTACTTTCTTAAATTGACATGCTCCAATTTGAATAGTGTACGTCAGTTAAGACTACACGGGCACTAAAAGTAGAACACCTACAGAATACAGCCCTATCAGTACAATGTGTAAGAAATATTTCCAAATGAGCAGCAAACAAGAGAGACAATAGAGTTAGCTTCAAGGCATTCATCACATTTTCAGGGATGCAAGAATACTGGTGGAGCAGTAATAATAATTGTCACTTATAAGGCTGCTGCTATAGACAAAAATTGCTAGCAGATGTTTACATAGGCCAGATGACATCCACATGAATATTTTTCATCAAACACATTTTTTCAAAACAATGCAAAATTATTTTCATAGCATCATTTAAAACATTTTATTACTTTTAACATAAATTCAAGTCTGAAAATAGCTCAGAAGTGTGGGTTGGTTCATATAAAACAAGAAATTCCTGAAGAACACCTGAAGTGCAAGCCACACTGATTTATTCATCTAGAAAGTCAGAACAGAATAAATACCCTATTGCCCATTTCCCTTTCCATACCACCATCTCCCCCCTGTTCCAGTATCTTATATATTTCCTATCCCTTCCCTCAAGGTTTTAAGCAGAAACATCAAATCAC